AATCAGGGGAGAGGGGAACCATGTGGCACCTCCTTGACCCCGCTGATTGGCCCTACGAGCAGCAAAACCACGAGGGATAGCCACGTCGGACCCTCAACCCTGCGGTTCCCTCACGCCTCTCCTATGCTCCCACGCTGCCGTCCGCTGGCTTCGATCCCTGAATCTCGGAACAAACCCCGTGCTAAGGCCCTTACCGATCGTACGAGAACCCGAAACGTCAATTGCCATGGACGTTGCTGGCCCTTTTCCTCGTGATCAAGTCGGCCACGACGATATTCTCACAATTGTCGACCGTCTAAGGAAGTACGCGCGGCTTCTTCCCTGCAAGTATTACACGACGGCTCCCGAGCTTGCAAGACTCTTGCACACCAGCTGGATTTGCAGCCACGGCGCCCCGATGGATATCGTGAGCAACTGCGACACTCGATTCATATCGGCATTTTGGACCTCTCTCATGACGGAGTCCGGCGCCGTGATGAAACCGAGTTTGGCTCGACACCCACAAACGGATGGGCAAACGGAGCGCGCACATCAAACACCACAAATGATGCTTCGTGCGGTCGTTCGCCCGGATCAGAAAGATTGGGTTGACCACCTCCCCAACATCGAATTCGCGTACAACACTTCGGTGGTTCTGGCAATTGGAGCAACTCCCTTCGAGTTATACCACGGTGGTCGGAAAGGTCATCACTTCGCTGACCTCCTCTTCCCTCGGGCAGCCGACATTGACGCACCTTGCTCTCCCGCCTCCGTTGGGAAGTTTCGGGAACCCCTACTAACCCCTAATCCTACCTGTCGGTCCCTGCAAGGCTCGTGTGGGACTGAGTATGCCACACTTGGTCTGCTTCAGACAGGTACCGGTTGGCCGCTGCCTGTCTGCTGCAAACATTTTTTCGGTCCGGTAGCTTCCGGACTTTCCTCGGACATGCTGCAAAATTGGACTTGGGACTGTCAGACTGGACTGGATGCTTCTGGACTTTTCTTGTCGGGTACCGGACGGACTCCTACCGATCTACGACGCTTCGGTACCGACACCCACTGGCCTACGACATTTCGGCCTCTAGACCCTACCACCTACCCTAGAGGACGGCCCTGGGACTTGGGACTTGTTGGGAGCCTGGGACAGGGATTGGGCGTACCCTACCACCTACCCTACAGGACGGCCCTGGGACTGGGTACATGTCGGGAGCCTGGGACAGGGATTGGGTGTCTGCAGCGTGAATGGTTTCAGACTAGTCTCTAACAGAATGGGATGCAGCAAATAATAGACAGATATTCTACATACCGCAGTCTGTCAGCTGTCACCATAGTCTGTAATAACTTTTTTTCTAAGGTCTGATTTTGTCTGTAACAACTAACTAATAAAAAATAAAATAAAATCATTTGCTGGAATGCATGCTGAATGGGAATAAAACAATAATTGACAATCGAGCAGTTAACTAGAATCTGCCCTCCCTCTAAATCCTTCTTGAGTGTCACTTAGTGTTGATGTCCTGAAAGCTCTGGTTGAGCAGCGTGTTTAAAGGTCTGCACACGGCCCGCCCCTGTGGCCCAGGTCAATGCAAGACCGGCCAGTGCGAGTTGAGTATCCCCGCCAGAGTCTCTTTATAGACGGTCCGGTACTCATCTATATCCCCCCATAGGGCTGGCCTGCCCAACACAACGTCTATAGCGCAGCAAAGCAGACCAAAGGACAAAGCACCAAAGCCTATGTGCTCTACTCCCACTGGGTTGGCATGGTGACCATGACCCAGGTGCTTTGTCCAGGGCCCTTCATAGGCAATGCCCGTTTCCCACCAGCATGCTCCCAAGGAAGAGTGTCGACTCTCAAGGTTGAGCGCACACGGCACCTCACAATGAGATGACTGTCAAGACCAGGACTCACTTCCTCAACGTAAGAACCGACCAAGAGGGTAGATAAGGTAAGCATTTGTGATGACCAGTCAGTGCCTCGGCACAACCCACAATACAATGCAGTTCCACCTCGACTTAAATGCCATGTCAGCAATCTTACATCATCCAGCATACACCCCTCGGTCTCCACATAGCCTCCCTGGTGCGCCCTCCAGACATAGGGTCGTGTTATCAAACCAGCGCCATGGCCCAGTCACACTGCCGCGCTGCTACACGGTGCGGCACCGGATCACCAATACGCTAGAGCCAGCGGAGTGGCTCCAACCAGCTCCAATACCAAATTGCAAGGAAAAGGAGCAATAGTGAAATGACAGAATTCCAGATTGCAAAATCACATTGAAATCCAGATTCTTGAAAACTCTCCAGAAAGCAGAAATGCCTTGATGTCACGCCAAAGGAGAACCAAAGCAGCGAACTCAATTGTCAATGAAAGCAATCTCTCGCCACCACCAGTAATGTACTCAAAGCTCTTCCTCCCAGTGGCGCTCAACGCCCAGACTACGATCCTACAGCTACTACGCTAGCCCACACAAATGATAAAGCAACCAGTTGATGTCAGCAGTAGCGACCAAACTACATGCAGATGTCGGCCATCCAGACCCCTGCCACGACCAGGTATGTGCTCTCACGTCACCTCTCTCCTCCGCCCTCCCAATGCCCACCCTCGACTTCTCGCACAGCTTCACCTTCTATCACGAGGGCCACCTCCACCTCCGCTAGCATCTGCGCCCAAGCCCCGACTATGACTGGCCTGGCGCTAGCTCCCTTCAGGCAGCGCTCCACTTCCCTTGCGCCCGTGTGCGCCCAGGCACATGCAGGAGCAGCATGAGCGCTCAGTGTAGCAGCACTACCGCCTTGCACCCCAGTGCCTGAATGCCCGACTCACAGCCAGGCACGTTGCTATATGCGAAGTGGCCTGGCCCGATGGCAGCCTGGCCTGGCCTCGCATGTGCCCAGTAGCTTCAGGTTGGGCCAAAGTGTCTGTTCCCAGGCCCATTCAGAAGTGGCCTTGGACTGAATTGCTTAGGCCTGCCCAGCCATCCAAGTGCGAAAGTGAGGTGTTCCCTGCTTCCACTGCATTGCCAGAAGAGCCTGGAAGGCCCACGAATGTTTCTGATTTTCACGAGCAGGGCGAATGTAACCAACTGGCCCGTGGCAACTGTCTGGCGTCCACCAAGGCTTTGCAAAATTGACAAATTCAGGACTCATTGAGTTTTGGGGGCCCGCCGTCACTTAGGGAGGGCACATGCTTGCTGTAGGGGCCACATGCAGGTATGCCGAGGGCTCAAAATCCTCACACAAGATACCATGTGATATGTGATGTAGAAGGGGGAGGGTTCCAGTGCAACATATTACCAGAGCTCAATCAGTACCTAGATCAGCAGACGTCCTGCTGTCACAGTTTTTAGCAGTCTGGTGGAGTGGTTTCCGGAAGAGGTAGAAGTTCCTGGTCATCCTAGTCCTGCTGCAAATGCTCATAGTGCTGAATGAATGAAAGCTCCCAAAGATAGTAATGAAAACAGGCAACCATACAGAACAAAGAAGAGGAGTGTGCGAAGAAGACTAAGCAAAGAATCAATCGGTACGGTGAAGAAGAATAAACAAAGAATCAATCAATACAATGTCTTGTCTCCCCTCCCCTCCCAATTCCCTGCAAAGGTGGAATGTGGCCCTTGAAGTCGATATCGCTCGACACTGGGTCCCAAAGCCAAAGTTATGGAGAACAGCACCCAATATGGCAAAGGTGGTTTTCTGAAGCAAAGTGCTGTCTCCTTGACAGGGGGGGGAAGTCTGAGGTCAGCGTCGCTCTCTCTCCTCCAGGCCCAGTACTCTATATTGTCCGGCCAGGTGCTCCCTCTTGCACCCAAAGAAGGGCTGACGTGCTTTCCCTCCAGCGGCCGGGAATCGGCAGGGCCTCAGGCTGTCTCTGGCCTAGGGCCTGGTTTGACTTTCTCTGGCCCTGGGGACTCAGTTTGGTGGATGCTGTGCGCATAGGCGATCGGCTGCAGGACTTCTCTTTGTGCCCCTAGGACCCAGCAGTCCGAGTTTTGTTTCCACAATGTTGACTCAACCAAAAGCTATGACCCAAAGGCTCTTGTGGTGCCCAAGTTGTGTGTGTGTGTGTGTGTGTGTGTGTGTGTGTGTGTGTGTGTGTGTGTGTGTGCCAGAGAATTGTCATGTCTTAGGACAGAGGTGCCTATTTTGACTGCATCTAGCCGTAATCACTACCCGATACATCAGATAGAGTGCTGGTGTGCGTATACCCTTGAAAGTCCCCACCAGATAGAGTTGAGGGCGGGAAACTTTGTGGGTTTCACAATGCACGTGTTCAAAACCAAACTCTAAATATTAGCTATAAAAAAAAAAAAGTGTCATTGGCTCCTGGAGGGGACACTGGAGCGGGAGACAACACTTGCCAGTGCAGGCGGGAATGGTAGGTACGTTTGCAATGACACCTTTCCGCTCCAAGCCTGTTCTATTCTCTATGTCATGCAAGCATATACCCCTCTCCCCCGCCCAGCTAGGACCCCCCGGCTCTTGGCCTCAGCTTAGTCTGTGCTCAGTGCATCCATCCACTGCTCTGCACTCCAGACAACACACCAAAGCTCCGCACATGATATATAGAATAATAGAATGATATTCTGAACAAGATTAACTACGACTTCAGCTTTCTTTATATATCTGTGCTCTGGTCTTCAAACGATAATAATGGAGATTCATGATGGGAACACAATGCCTTAGATTATTCCAATTTGGCTTATTTTTGGCCTGAAAGTTGGGTGATTTTAGAGAAGAGTTAGAAAATGAAGAATGTGGTTTATGACTTTGTCAAAGTTTTACTTGTAGTGTCTTTTGTGAGGCGCATAGTTTTGTTTCGGGGGTACAATTTTTTCGAGAAAACAGGATAGCTCAAAATATTCTCCTCAATTGTCAGCTGTGTGCATTTTGCAGCAAGTGGGACCACACCCTAATGCTGTTTCCCTAATGTTTTTAAACGACTTTTGTTTCCTTCTACACTTCAATGCAAAAAACACTTCTGACAGCAGTCCTTCCTGCGCTCTTCGTGGCTAGCATTTCAGTGGCAGAGATGTTGAGTGTGGGACAATCAGAGAGAAAGGAGCTGGAGTTATCTTGAGATGTTATGATTTGGAAAGAGGTGCAGAGGATGACGACGAAATCGAAAGATCACAGGACATCCGCTTGCTGGCCCTTTCATGTATAGCTATGGTCATTGGAAAATTGGAAGGTCACAAGCTGGAGAGGATGATGGATGCCATGTTGCACAAATCGTTTGTTCTGGCTCTGCTGGCTCAGGTGAAGTGGTCCCCTCCCCCCCTTTTTTTCCCCCCTTGATTTGTGTGTGCACCTGTACTGGTTCTTTTGGCTCAGGTAAGTGTTTTCGTTTGTTTGGCTTTTGTCAATTTCTACTGGCTCAAGTAAAATGTAAACGACAAAAAAAAAAAAAAAAAGTAAACGACAAATGTCACCAGAAATGATAGGTCACCAATAGGGGTGCCTGTGCCACCTTAGCATGCCTGGAATGCCGCCCTGCCACGCAACCCCTCCGATCGAGGACTCAGGAGGCCGAGCGCTGGGGTCGAAAAGCCCCGACAGCTCGCAAGGTGCCGTGCAATGAAAGGCAACATGAAAAATCTTTCAGGGGCCAGTACGCCCATGTTTTCTTTTTTCCTTTCTCCATTGACCTGGGCCGTTGATCGACTAACCTTGACAGGCTGGAACAACCCAGCGAGCACGAGAGGGGGCAAAGCAAGTTCCCTTCAAAATCGAATCCCAGGAAACTTTGTGCGCTGCGTACCCCATCTTCCTGCTCCCCTGCTCGGCATCGTCGTCAACATCGACCTCCTCGTCTTTGTTTCCATCAACCTCCTCGTTGTCATCGTGGTCGCTGCCCTGCTGGATCATCCATCACTTGCCCAAAAGTGAGTTCTTCTTCTTCCTCTTGTTCTTCGTCTCCGTCATGTGATGTCTCTTCCCCCCCTGTCACACTGTCCCTGTGCTTCTTCTTCTTGCTCTTCTTCTTCCTCCTTCCCACCATGCCATCTCCGCGCCATTTCCCTGCCCTCCCTTTCTGACATCTCTTTTCCCCCTCATCGCGCCACTGTCTTTACCCCCCTGTTACCCGCCAGGATGGTGACGAGTTCTGATGACAGTTGAGATTGCATCGGTTGAGGACTACTTCGGGGATCTGACTTCATCTACTTCTGGAGATGTATCTTGATATTGGGAGATCGACATCTGGAACACTGTGAGACTCTGTATTCACGACATTCCGGATATGCACTACTTATGACATTCAAGATACTATTTTTGGATCCATGGTGCTGACGTCATTTTCCCTCTCCTCCTCCTTTCGTCTCTCCTCTCCCTCCATTTGTCCGTGTATGATCTCAGACCCTGGCCTGTTCTTCCATGTCCAAGGCCAGGGCTTTCACACCACTGATGCATGTTGAGAGTGTTTCGTTGCAGTCTGAGTCGGGTCAGAATCAGTCCATGTGTATCAAGTCGTCCGCTGTATTTTGTACTTACTCTGTATTATCTGGTCGGTTCTGGGCATCTGTGCCATATTTATGACTGTGTTTCACGAGTATGCAACACTCTCCCTACCCGGCTATAGGCTAGAGAGAGAGAGAGAGAGAGAGAGAGAGAGAGAGAGAGAGAGAGAGAGAGAGAGAGAGAGAGAGAGAGAGAGAG